TTCCTGTATCATCATATAATCCTTGAATCCCTCTCCTACTCAGTCCTCTGGCATGGGTATAGCCAACGTGGCATCATTCATAGAACCGGTATTCAAGGTCACCATTCTCAGCACAAGCAGCAACAAAATTCATACAGTGAAGCTTCCACATACAACATGATCTGGAGTTCTTGTACGGTTTACAGTAAACTGTGTTATGGTATTCCATCTTTTTACCAGAATGCTCTGATAGCTGGCCCTTCTGCAATCAGAATGAAAATTCATAATAAGACTCTAGAATCCTGGTAGAAGCCTAAAGTGCCTTTTGAGCCATCAAAGCCAAAATAATATTAAGCAGAGTATGAACAAGGACCACATTTTATTGCGTCTTAAAGAGATTTCAGACAAGGTCCCCTTCCCTGCCTTCAGTTTCTTCACCTGTAAAATCAGCATAAAATAAGTCACTTCTTATGGACGTTTATGGTCCTATGTGTCTATGACTAAGACTGTAGTCTCTTCTAGTCTAATTCCTCTGATTCTATTTACTAATCCAATTCAGCTCATCTCAATTTAATATTTATTACCTCCCTAGTATCTCTTGGAAGCCTTTCCTTCTCTCTGCTCCCAGATCTGGTCCCATCAGGCCCTCATTTGCACTCATCTGGAATAACTTCCTAATTGATCTTCTATGTCAAGTCTCATCTTTCTCCAGTCTATCCTCCCCAAAGCTGCCAAATTGATGATCCTAAAACCAAGGTCTGACCAAGTCATTCCCTGGCCTTCCTCCTTCCTCTAGGATAAAATCCAAATTCTTCTGTTTGGCTTTTAAAGCCTTTCACAATTTGACTCCATACTTATTTTTCCAGGTTCACTTATCAAACATCTCTTCCTTTCAAACACTCTGCTTTCCATCCCAACAGGCCCAATTTCTATTTCTGATTCATGACATTCCAGCTCTGTGCCTTCACAGGCATAGTCTCCAATACCCAGAATGTACTCTCTTCTCCCCTCATTCCTTTAAGATCCTTTACTTCCTTCAAGACCTACATCAAAGTACCACCTTTACTTTCCAATTCTTTGTACTTAATCAACAAGCATTTATTCACCACCTACTTCATCTTGGGCACCTTGGTAGGCACTAGGTGATATAAAGGCAATACCTGCTCTCATAGAGTTCACATTCGATTTCTTTTGAATTTTTTTGTTATTCTGAAGTTGACAAACACCAACAAATTTAAGCAATTCCACAAATAAAGAGCAGAAAAATAGGATTCTACATGAAACCATGAAATTCCATTACATGAAACTTTATTTAAAATTATGTAATAAATTCAACATATTAGTTTCAAAGCTATTCCACTCATCTATGATTACCTTTGAACCTTTTTCTGTCCTCTTCTGTTCATCTGTTTCTTTGACACAGCATTCTTTTCTTTTATCGTATTCCTACCCCTACCACTTCTACCCCAATTCTGTCCCTCTCAAAAATTTTCTAAAACTCTCCCTTTTAACCAGTGACTGTGGTCAAGCAAAAATAAAAGTGCATATTGACCTTGTGTGTAAATATGTGTGTGTGTGTGTGTGTGTGTGTGTGTGTGTGTGTGTGTGTGTAAAATCTCATTCCGCACCTTCAGTCCTTTACATTTTTGTCAAGAGGTGGATAGCAGACTTCATCATCTGAAAAGTGGGTGTTCATTTTATTGATTATAGTGCTTAAGTTTCAAAGTTGCTATTGTTGTTATTGTTTTGCAACATTGTAATAATAATGGTATAAATTTTCTCCTGGTTCTCCTCACGTCACTTTTTTTAGTGACTTGGAGCATTTTTCATATGATTATTGTGTGGTTGTTTTTATTCTTTTGAGAAATTCCTGTTTATATCCTCTGACCTATTTATATCCTCTGATCTATTGGGGATTGTTTCTTGTTCTTAAACATTTTAATCAGATGCCTATCTATCATGGATTTCAGGCCTTTATCAGCACTTGCTACAAAGATTTTTACCTAACATACTTTCCCTTGTAAGTTTAGCTGCATTGTCTTTTTTGAGTGTAAAAGCTTCTCAATTTTATGCAATTAAAAGTGTTCATTTTCTTAATGTGTTCTATTTGGAAAGACAACATACATACATCCATGGATAGATGGATGGAAGGATGTAAAAAACACATACAAAGCATTTATAAGGTTCATTAGAAGGGAAGGCGCCAGTTAGCCTGGGGACCAAGAAAGGTCTCATTCAAAAGGTAGAACTTGAAAATTCTGGAAGGAAACCAGGGACTTTTTGAGATGGAGGTGAGAGAAAAGAGCATTCCAGGTGTGGAGGATCGCTAGTACAAATGCACAGAGTTGGGAAATGGAGCATCATATGTCAGGGACAAAAAGCAAGTCACATGGCTAGATTTGTAGAGTTTGTGGAGAGTAACAATGTGTAATAAACCTGGAAGAAGGGAAAGGTCAGGTTATGAAAGAACTTTAAATATGAGGCAGATGAGTTGAAATTTAATTCTAGAAGTGATAGATTAATATGGGAAAATGATTATCAGATCTGGCAAATAAGATATTAGTGGTGACTTTAGAAAGAGGAATTTCAGTTGAGTAATAAATGAGGTTAGAAACAGGGTTTAGAAAAAAAGTGAGAGAGGAGGAAATGGACGTACTGGGTATAGATGGCTTTCTCAAGAAATTTGAATCAGAAAAAAGAAGATGAATAATAATTAGTGAGAATGGTAAAAGCTAGTGAGAGATTTTCGATGTGTATTTTGTTTATGTTTTATACTTAGTTTTCTGTGTTCATGTTATTTCACTCTAATTTAATGGAAGCTCCTTGCCAACAGAGACTATTTCATTTTTGGTTTTGTGTTTCCAGAATCTGGCATGTAACAGTCACTTAATAAATAATTATTGAATTGAATGTGCAAAGTTCCACAAACCAAAGGTAAAAAATAAATCCTCTGTAATATCTTTAGCATAACTATCCAGTAACAAGAATATCATTTCCCTGCTATGTCAAATAATAGAAATTTTCTGTTTTAAAAAATAGATATAGAAACGTCAAGCATGACTCTTTTTTTAAAAAAATTCTTCATATGAAGAGTTTTTATTTGTCTACGTCTATCCAACATTCTTTCAAACTCAGAAACCTTCTGGTTTTGACAATATTAATGCAAAGCAATATAGTGCAGTGGAATTTTAGTAAGCTGCTTTGGATGAAGTGCTGGCTCTGCTATTTACCACCTCTGTTCTGTGACCTTGGATAAGTCATTTTCACTCTAAGCCTCAGTTTTCTCATCGGTAAAATGGGGATGTTGAACTAGATTACCTCTTGCCTCTATTCTAGCTCTAAATCTCTCTTCTGATGATTTTCAAATAGAAGTAATGAGGTGCAACAGAAAGAAGATCAAGGTCAAAATCAGCACAACCAGCAAGACCAGAGTCACTATATGAGCTTGGACCAATTTGGTCTTCATTTCCCCATCTGTATATTAGGATGTTGGACTTTCTTGATCAGTAGTTTCAGTCACGTCTGACTCTTCGTGGCCCCATTTGGGGTTTTCTTAGCAAAGATACTGGACTGGTTTGACATTTTCTTCTCCAGCTCATTTACAGATAAGGAAACTGAAGCAAACAAGATTCAATGATTTTCCCAAGGTCATACAGATAGTAAATGTACGAGGGCAGATCTGAACTCAGGAAGATGAATCTTCCTGACTCTGAGCCCAGCATTTATCTCCATTGTGCCACTTAGCTATCCCATCAGACTAGATGGTGGATACTGGACTAGATACTTTTCCTGATCTAGATCCATGAGCTTATGATCCTTCTAACTCTGTCACTGTGTGATTCTGTGATTCTCCCTGCTTTGATTAGAACATTTGGTAGATAAAGACAAGATCAGCTGTGCCCTTTGGAATTGTGAACAAGGCTCTTTCTTACTGCATTACGGCAAAAAGATCTTAAATGTAATGGAAAACATAAACAACTTTATTGCTCTTGTGTGTGTCCTTTGGAAGAACCAGAGAAGTTAGGTTTTAGTTTTTCAGGCACAAATTCCAAGAAACATACAGAAAAATAGATGTCTATCTTAATAGAAGATTCAGCTATAAAATGGTATTTCTGAAGCTCTGGAATGCCCCAGTTTGATTAGAGCATTGTATAACTGTCATGCCAAGAACCTACATTATGAAGATTTGGTTCATTTCGTTGAGGATTTATTAAGCCCCTACTGTATAGGTGGAATGCCAGGGAAGCCTGAAGTCAGGAAGTCCTGGGTTTCATTCCAACCCTTGAGACTTATTAGCTGTGTGACCCTAACCCAGTAGTTTAACTGCTTAGTGCCTCAGGTTGCTCCTTAAGACTAAATCATAGACAGCAATACAATCTTCGTTGTTGGAAAATGTTCCCGTATTAGGAGTTTTCTGCACAGATGAAATCACAGAGCCTTTGTGTGTGCTTGAGACACTGTACTCTAGGTATTAGTGATATAAAGGTTAAAAGAAAAAAAAATGAGGGGAGTTGGGGGTGGGAATGGGGGGGTGGGGTAAAATAGCCTTTGCCTTCAAAGAGGCTACATTCTACAGCATTTAAGTTTACTCGAATGGGTTCAGCTTTGATGAAAGGAGTTGTTTCCTTCTACACCAGGAAAGGTCAAATATGTATGATGGCCTATTTCTCACTGGAAAAGTAATAGGAGAAGCCACTGATGCTGAAGCAAGAGAGAAATAATTTTTGATGGAAGAGGCCTCTTGTCATAAGAACCCCTCAGATTCCAAATTTATTGATTCATGAGACTTCCAAAATGCTTTATGACTCCCTGCCATACAGACCACTAAGCCCATGCATCTTCTTCCCTGACTCCCCCTCCCCCACCTCGCCCTTCTCATGCCACAAAGTTTCATTTTGTGACTATACCAGCTACATCATAACAGCCAGTTTTATGCTAGGCAATATCTTTGATGGTCCATGGGAAACTGGCTGAAAGGACATAATGATTATTCTGGTTTTCTTGTCCTGTTTTTCTGAAAGGTCTCAGTGTGGGAAACGTGTTTTACGTCTTTTCGGATGATGGGATCACGATCATTCAACCAACTGACTGTGAGATCAGGAGACACATCAAGCCCAGTGAAAAGATTTTTGCAAGCTATGTAAGTTTCTGTGCTGGAAGCAGCATCTATGGCACACCATGGCAAATTAAGAGATAAAAATCAATTAACCAGCAGCTTTGTAGAAACAAAGCCCTGGGTTCAGTTTGACTGGGTTTTGATTCAATTCAACTAATTTATTTTAAACATTGAAATAAACCACCTTGAAGGGTGCTAGCAGTGTGGTAGACAGTGCAGGGATGCAAAAGGCAATCAGGTAACATTATCCTTCCTTGGCTTCAGAGAAAACATAAGGTGATAAGAGAGAACTAAAACATAGGAAACAATTAGTGAATGATTCAAGACAGTGCTTAAGTATCAGATACAAATAGTGTCAGAGGAATCCTTCAGTCATCAAAATGCATTAATTAAGTACTTACTATATGCCAGTAAAGTCAACATGCATAAAGAGAAAATGGAATGTCACCTTGAAGGGGAAAGCTCTAGCTACTGGTGGGGACTAAGAAAAGCAAAAGATGAATGAGGACTTGGAGTAGTCAGTCAAGGAAGACCTCCTGGAAGAGATGAAACACAAGCTGTGCCTTGAAGGAAGAAAGGTCTCTCTTAAGAGGAGAAAAAATAGGGGAGGCCTTCCCAAAAGAGTAGAACAGCTTGAACAGGCATGGATATGGGAAAGGGCCTCCTGTGTGGGATAGGCAATGGTACTGAAAGAAAGAAGAGATTGTCTTGACAAGAATAGAAAGTACATGTACAGGGGGAAGGAGGCTAGATACTAGAAAAGGAAGATTAAGGAAGGCTTTGAAAACGAATATTGAATGGGATTATATTCAGTGGTGGATTCTCATTATCTAATGTAGAAGCTTCCTACTATGGTTTATTGAGGTTTTGTTTATTCTCTTTCCCTTTAATTTAAGCGGGTAGGCCCTGCTTAAAGAAAACTTAATAAAACATAAGTGGAACTTAACTGTATAAAATGGATATAACAGCATAGCGTGGGAAAAGGGGAGAAGAGGAAGGAAAAAGTCATTGTCATGATGAAAGCATTCCCATCTGGGGTTCCCTTAAAGGAAAAAAATATACCCCAAGTATTTTAAACAAATATACAGAGAAATTTCGGGAATGTGGCCACTTTAAAAAATGAAATATGTCTAGTTTTGCCCAAACCAAGGCCCAAAAAAAGAAATTAACTATCCCAAATTTATGCCAAAAATTAGGAGACAGAGACAGGGCTAGAATCCAAGTACAACAGCAATAATAACAATTAAGAAAAATAGCAATTCTAAGGTCTGCAAAGTACTTTACACATTTTATCTTATTTGAGCCTCACAAAAAACCTGTGAGGCAGGTGGTAATAGATGTGGAAACTGAGACCTCAGTCTCAAATTCAATGATTTTCCCTGCTCCTAGCCCAATACTCTTTATATTATACCACACTGCCTTATATTTATGTTCCCTGCTCTATTCCTTTCCCAAGACAAGTATCTTTCTCTTTCCCGTACCTCAGTTTTACTTTGGAGAACATGAGAATTACAAACCCACCTAATGTGCCATGAAGACAGTATGAAAAAATGACATGAGTTAAGCAAAAGGGCTTGGAGTTCCATAGATAAGTGGGTTCATTAGGATTGTGTCATTATTAACAGTAAATTCTTATTATCTCCCTCATTTTGCATTTCTGCTTTCTGTGATTCAGAATTCAATTAACAGGCAGTTTTCCTGACTATTTAATTTGAAGTACTAATAAAAAAAAAAGTGCACTAAATTCCACTAACACTTTTCCTCTACTTAACTACTGTAAGATCATTTGGACATTAGTGTACCTAGTCAATTTTTATCAGTTAGTTTAAGTTACTATATGGAGACTTTGTTGGTATAAATTCTGTATTTTAGCAAGAACCAAACCTATACCTTAATGAAAGTCAACCGATTTGCAGCTGAGGGACCAACTGCAGAACAGTTGCCAAGTTGTACTGATAGGGGCCGGAAATTCCCTTTACTGATGCCATGACAGTGCAGACAAAAAAATTTTTAAAAAATTCAAATGAGTATAGTAGAAAGAAACCAGGGTGGAGGTTCTTTGGGTAGAGTCATAAAATCAGAGCAATACATTAGGAACATGACTCAAACATCATATCAGATAGTAAGTGGAGAAAGGAATATGGATTGGAAGTGATAGCCAACATACTAGTTAGCAACCTCAGGACAAAATGCTAGGCTAGAATATTGGGCCATGTCTCATAGGATGCAATGTAAATGTGAAGTCCTATACTTCAGGCAGCCAAGCAAACTAATGCAATATTATTAGGCTATATTAAGAGAAGCAGAGTGTTCAGGATCAGGGAAATGTGTACTGTTTCACTCTGACATCATCAGATCACATGTGGAGTATTGTGTTTCATTCTGGGCACCATATCTTAGGAAGGATTTTGGTAAGCTGGAGAGTATCCAGAGGAAGGTAATCAGAATGGTGAAGTGAACAAAGTTCCAGGCGTATAATGATCCATAGAAAGAACTTAGTACCTTTAGCTAGAGAAGAGAAAATTAGAGCCACACATGATAACTGCATTGATGTATTTAAAAGAATGTCAGGTGGAATAGGGATGGCATAATCATAATAAGCATGACTAACATTTACAGAGTGCTTAACTATGTGCCAAGTGCACTTTACAATTATTTTCTCATTTGATCCTTGCAACAACGCTATTATTATCCCCATTTTACAGATGAAGAAACTGAGGCAAACAAATTACATGAGTCCAGGGTCACATAGCTAGTAAGTATCTGACACCAGATTTTGAACTCCAGTTTTCCTGACTTTAGACCTGGTTCTCTGCCCTCCATACCACTTAGCTGCCCCAAACATTACTCAATGAACAATGGATGAGTGTGAGGTGACTGTAGCAATAGCACTCTTTTAGTACAGATTTCATGTTAGGACAAAATGAGGCACTCACAAGTCATTGGACACCTGACGGTATAAAAATGAGATTTGTTCTGCCCAGATACAGGAAGGATATACTAGCACTTAGCTTCTCCCAATGCAGTCCCTCATCTCCATATGAAAATTAATCTGGTCATCAGGCCTAGATGTGGTGAAAGACATGGTGATTTACATGGTCTTCAGAAATCCACCCAAGTTGAATGGCCCAGACTGCCTACCCTCAGTACTTTAGGTAATCAGGAAGCTGTGTTGGGTAAGCTTCAGCCAATCACATCTTGGGGATATCTTTGTCACCTTTTAGGGAAAGCTAATCTCTGTCAAAAGAGGGAAGGAGGTATGGCCTGGTCCCAGCCCATGTTGTGGGTGAGGGGAAAGAAGCCATATCAGAGAAAAGTAGGTAAATATCAGTCCTATCACAGGACAGAAATTGAGAAGATAAATCTAGGCTGTATATAAAGAAACATGTCATGTAATTAGGACTGTCCAAAAGTAGACAAGGTTGTCTCTGAGGACAGTGAGCTCTTCATTGAAAGTCTTCATTAGAAAACGAAATAAGTCATCATTAAGTATGTTGTAAAAAAGATTCTTGTTGACCTATGGATTGTACTAGTTGGCATATGAAGATGCCAACTTTTTCACTCTCATTTATAACATCAGAATTAGGGTGTGTGCTTGTAAATGTTTAACAACTGGGTCTTTGAAAATTTATGACATTTTTAAAAATTTAATCTGTATTATTAGCATTTTTCCAAATGCTTGTGGTTTCCATGTTTTTTTTTAATTTTTTCCCTGTCTTAAATCAGAAAACAAGGAAGAAGAAGACAGGAAAATATTTCACAGATATGTTACTATTTGGAGCCATTTTATTCATGCATGATATAGTAGATAAGGTGTGAATTGTAAGGAGCTGGGGGGAAAAAACCATCACATTGTAATGGGAACAAGCAGCTTCATTCACCTCCTGTCTCCTAACTTCCAAAAATGAGACTGTGTAATTCTAGGAGTGTAAGGAGGAAAATCATCTAAGAAACAGTTACAGCAGCTTCAATGGGAAGACATAAGAAGGTGACCTAAGATGATGACAGTACGAATGGAAGGGACGATGCCCAAGGAAGCCATATTGAAAAGTTAGAATTGACAACTTGATTGGATGTGGGAACATGAAAAATGGAAGCATCAAAAATAACTCCAATTTTATGAGCCCGAGTTATTGAGAAGACTGTGGTGTCATTAACACAAATACAGAAGTTGGGAAGGCAGGCAGGTTTATGGAAAAAGTGATAATTTCCATTTTAAACATGTTGAATTTTATATAGCAGGAAAAAATCCAGATGCAAACATCCCAATGGGAAGTTGGGAACATGGGCCTGGAGCTCTAAGGAGATATTTCTATTGTGCAAGCCTTGTATGTACTGTCCCCACTTATGCTCAGGGAGTATGGGCTCCTTTGAGCCTAGAGTCTCTTTATCTTCTGTAGCATGCGTGTTGTACCTAGTTGTTTGCATGCTGTCTCCTTATTAGATTGTGAGCTCCTTGAGATCAGTAACTGTTTTTTTTCCTCCTTTCTTTGTATCTTCAATGCTTAACATAGAACCTGGCACATAGTAGGAACTTAATAAAAACTTATGGACTGCCTTATCTTACATTAGCAGTGATAGTGATGATGTCACATTTTTAAAGGTTTACAAAGTGTTATCTTCAAAAACATCCCTGTAAGATAAATATCTTAATTATTCTGGTCTCTGCTGTGCTGAAGCCTGCTCAAGAGAGCCAAATGTTGAGCCAAGGTGGCAGAGTAAAAGCAGTGACTTGCTTGAGCTCTCCCCCAAATCCCTCCATATACCTATAAAAAATGGCTCTAAACAAATTCTAAAGCAGCAGAACCCACAGAAAGACAGAGTGAAACAAATTTCCAGCCCAAGACAACCAGGATAGTTGATCAGAAAGGTATATTGCGCCGGATGGGTAGAGGAGCGTAGTTCAGCGTGGGCGCGCAGGCCGCGGCGAACCTGGAGCAGGTCTCAGAATTGGGGTCAGCTGTGGCAATTTCCAGACGTGTCAACCCACAAACACCAAAGACAACTGAGAAGGTCAGTGGGAA